TACAGAGCAGGGTGATAATGGTCAAGACTAAAAGAAATACGTAGAATTAAACAAATAATGCAAAGTACTCGTCATATCAAAATAATTTATTAACGAATACGAACATTTCGTATATCAGACGACTCCTTAGCAACCTAAGCTTTCGGATGCTCGATTTCTTCTATTCATTTTTCAACGATATTTTCACGAGAGGCCTTCCGTTATTCAATAGTACACTACGTCAGCTCGTAAACACCGACATTTTGGACGCAGCAGGTAGTTGCTGGTATTGGAATCAAGTATTTGAAATGACAATCAGCTGTGCGGCAGTTATTTGTACAAACAACCAGACAAAGAATCCGGAATTATAGTTTTATAGGTTTCCAAAAGATCCCATAAGTAGAGTTAAATGGACTGCGGCAGTAAAACGTGCAGACCCGAACAACATTGACAAGATTTGGTAACCATCGTTGTACCATAGACTATGCAGTTCCCATTTTATATCTGGTTAGTTCTACTTGTATATACATATTACAACGTACTTTGTCATAATTATATTGTACATATCTTGATAAAATCTGTAGCTTGTAAATATTTGGTGCTCCCGTAATCTAAATACTAAGAATATTGTTACGTCTCCGTTCGTTATTTGATTTTCCGTTACTTCGTTCCGACGAAACTTTAGCGACACAAGTCCTTACTTAATAAAACTGGTTTATTCTTTCCGAATACAACTTTGCAATACACTTAATTTCAACAGTCGCGCTATAACAAACGCTATATCTCACGTGGCCAACAATATTTTGGCCGCATACATTCAATTACTCATTACACTGTTGTCCCGTCACGTTGTGACCATCTTATATATACCAGCTACCCCCAATCTAGTAAATGCTAGGGCATTCACGAAGGAACAGGATATCTCTAGAAAACGTGGCGTGACACTAGTCACGTGACCTCGCTGACGCAACAATACTTTGCTTACTACAACTAGAGTATAACTTATAAATCTCTTTTGGACATGAGGGCAGCTCCAAACTCCTTTGTTTTTGATGCCATTAAATACATAGAATATACCTATCTTGGAAATTCTTAATGCTTGGCCTGAACACATCTTTATGACCTGAGTGTATAAATATTTTGCAACAGAAAAGACAGTTAAATGCCCTTCCCGAAAGTGATAAATTTTCACTGGCTTCACACCACCTTGAAAACACCAAGCAATATCAAAATGTATCGGCTATTTGAAATCATTTTTAACATAACATACTTAACCCTCGGTATTCAAATGACAAATGAAAGACACCACATTTATACAGGTAACTCTTTTAACCAAAGACCACAGATACTCTTTTCATAGAAACTACCTTTTTACTTGATTCTAATTGATGTGAATTTTTCAACCATTTAACCGATGGTTCTGGAAAGCCACCAGCAGAACAGTTTAATACAGTTGACTGTCCAACAGGAACAATAACATGTAAGTTCATCTTCGATGGGCTAGTGAAATAAGGTAATTCTAGAAAGAAAGTAAAAGCATGATTTCCAGGCATACTTATTTATAATTAAATGGAAGAAAGATTTAAAGTAACAACCTAGCTGATAACATGTTTTGGTAAAATTAACATTTAATTCGCAAAATATAAATTTCTGTTGAAAATATTTTGTAATTAAAGAAACATCATAATGCAAAAATAAAATAATTTATTGTAAATTTGAAGTACATATTGAAAGTCATTGCTTATTCTTAAGTGTTATACCTTGTGGATGTATTTCAATCTGCCGAACAGGATCGTATCAATCCATATTCCAACTAAGCCACAATATGACTATCAGGGTGAAATATGAAATTAGAGGTACATGTGCATCATATGCCTTTCATTGAAAACACTGAAGTTATAATTTTCCTATACTGAAACTGTATTTCCATAGGCACTTACCTTCTCTCATATAAATAGCTATTCTCGTTCAGTACTGTCCTCTATATGACAAAAAAAAAAAACAACAAAAAAACAACAACAATATCTTGTGCATGCCACAAGCCTTGACGCTCCACCCATCTGGAATTGACTATTCCAATGCATCTCGCATGCAAATCATCATGCAACAACCCTCCACCAATAAGAGTATGACATACTCTCTTCACACATTTGACTCCCTCTATTCAATTCTACCAAACTATCACTTCGAGTTTTGGCTGAAAACAGAAGTACTGATTTTCTGTTGGGAGGAGGGCTAGAGAGAGTGAGATGAGGTAAGTACCCATCAGAAATACATTTTCAGTATAGGAAAATTATAACTTCAGATATGGTACATTACTTTTTCTCACATAAATAGCTAAAATCCCACATTGAACATGTGGAGGAACTGATGTGAGGGAAAGAAAGAAGCATATTTCAAAACTGTCTAATGGACACTCCCAAAGAGATATTCTGTACCAAGTATATTCTTCACCTGGTGTGGAAAAAGGTGTGCAGATATGGGAAGAAATAGGGAGTAGCACATCTAATAGGTAGAGAACTATGGTTGGATAGCGATCCGAACCACACTATACATGAATCTCAATCCCATAATACATAAATGAGTGTGAGAGTAAAAGAATGTGCCTCTAGGTGTAGAGTGGCTAGGGCACAATGGACCATACATGGCAAGTCAACTACAACCAAAACCCAGGCCACCAGGACTCGACATCCACACGGGGGTAGGATGAGGATCATACCATCAGTAAGTTAACTATAATCCAAAACATGGCCACCGGGAACTGACATCGCATGAGGGATTCAAATTGAAGGGATGAACTACAATTTTTATGGCTCACTCCAATGTTACATAGTGGAGGATATCTTGTCATCTACACCAGCAGAAGATCATCACCCTATCCTTAACTGAATGGTTTTATCATCATTTGTGTACATTTAATATATATATATATATACATACATATAGATATAAATACCGTATTTTTCGGATTATAAGATGCACCGGTGTATAAGACGCACCCTTATTTTGAAGACAAAAGTTTTTTGGGGAAAAACTACAGTCGCATATGAAAGATTTTTATTGAACAAAAATTCAATTTGATA